AAACTCGTTGAAAGCTCAAGAAGGCCATGCAGTAACTGTGAGGTGGGAATACTTTTCTGTGGAAAGATTTGACGACCCTGCACTAGTGCTAATCTTCTGAGTCCTTCATTGCAAATCTGCACTTCTGTGAGAGTCTAACCAAAAATTATTCCGCAAAAGTAGTTCTTATATTAATTGAGTCTTTTGTATCTGTAGAGTGAATCGCAGTTTTAGGTCGTAGTTGTGATTTCGAATAAGCTCGGCGCGAAAGGAATGGATATAGCAAAAGCGATGGGAATTGAAGCTTTGCACATACCTCATACTCAGATCAGAGAAATTGGAGATTCAAAAATCAGTGAGGTATGCAGTAGATTTATTACTACGTAAATCATCTGAATCCAACATGAAGGGCACATGCGAAATGGAAGTCAAACTACTTTCCATTCAACCTTTTTTAAATCCAATGATATTGTTCCAATCGATTTAAACTTTAGGGTGGGGGGAATGGGTAAAAAAGAGTCACTTTGCCTATGGTGCATATTATCAAACTTTCCGTCGCACAGGATGTCGCTGTTGACGGAATTTTCGCAGTAACGTAGTCTCCCCTCCCCATAAGCAGACTCCCCATAAGCAGAAGCAGGCCCCATTCACTATCCTAACCATCTCCAGAGTATGACGTCATCTGCGTCGCCGCCAAGCTCAAGGGGGTCAACCAGCCTGAAGCAGTGACAAGTTATCCTGGACTGACTGGCGGAGAGTTTCCTAGAGGCAGTAGCCCAAAGTACACATAATCTCGTTTAATCACTCCTTTTACCTTTTAGAGAACGTCTTAATGGTTCACGGACCTTGTTGAGCTTAAAGAGTACACTGAGTTCTCTTTCAAAATTCTCCTGATGCAGTTTAGAAGGCCTTTATAAAGTTTTTTGATAGAATGGATTATACTCTTCAATTTTCAATTTGAAGTATTCGGTTTCATTCCCCCTGAATTTTCCCTCCTCATATAGTGCTCTTTTGTTACTGCTTTCTGCTCCCCTTATCCAAAAGTTTTAGTAAAAAAAAGGTGAAGCAATCCTTTTTTAGCTGAGTGCGCCGCTCATTCTACTTCCTCTCACAATAAGAGGTATATGTAGGATTATTGAATGCGAAGTGAGCAGTTGATCCATGCAATGGATTCCAAGATGCGCACTCGCCTGCTTTTTATTCCAGACAACGTGATACGTGAGGATGGCTTACCTGCTTAGTGAAATTTATTTCAGGGCCATAAGTTAATACTCTCACCAGAATCATGCCCTTGGTTGGAAGCGCCGCTTACCACAGCCCGATCTGAATTTTTAAAACCCTTCTGGTCATCCTTCTAAAATCATACTTCTGTGCCTGGTTGATTCCCTCGTTTAGGGCTATCTGTGAAAAAAATAAGCGATGAAAGAATTCTCTAAAACCACCATTACTTATTTTTATTGCAGGCACTCCGTGCAAGAGACGTTCAACTGATTTGCTTGGCTGGCTATATGAGGGTGCTTTCGTCAAAATTCGTCGAGGAGTGGCGAGGCAAAATCATCAACATTCACCCATCACTCCTCCCATCATTCAGAGGTACAGGTCACCTTTTAACTAAATGCTTTTCACATCAACGAATGAACTATAATACCATCAATGAACTAGTGCAGTGCACACTCCTGCTCTGAACGCTAAGGCGTTGTACTCACAGTGTTTAGAATTTTTCGCTAAGTAATTCACGTTGAAATAATTTCATACCGAGATTAATTTTTCAATGAGCTTTTCTTTCGAAACACCAT